TACTATGTATTCCAGGCAGGTCTTGTACTCTCTGTGTAGCCCAGGATGGCCAGGATTCGGCCATCCTTTTGCCTTAGTCTCCAGAATGCTAAGAACACAGGTGTGTTTATAGAAAGGAGAGTAAATATTTAATTATTTGATCAACCTTGCATAATAATATCTGGTAACCTGAGCAACAAATTTGATAACAATATATAATATAACAACCACAGTTGATATTTCATTCTCTTGTTTTCTTAAATGTGTATCATCTATAATGTCGTATCTATTATAGTTATACTTTATTCATTTATTTATTTATTTATTTTGTGGTACTGGAGATTGAACTCAGGAACCTGCGCTTGCCAGGCAAGCACTTATTCTACTGAGCTATCTCCCCAGCCCTGTACTAAATATATTTTTTAAAAAAATGTGTATCAGTTTTCAAATTATATTAATAAATGTTTCCTCCCTCTGTCGTTGCTAATATGGAAACCTGTAGAACAGGTTTATGTAAGAATTAAGCCTTAAACCCCTAAGGAATCCCTTAGATGGATTGAATTATCTACCTCAGATATAGCTGAAACTATTCTAGTATGCTCCTACTCTTGGGAGCATTGAAAAATTTACTTACATCCTTTTGTATTTTTTCCAGTAGAACTAAATTCTTTTGCAGAATCTCATTTCAGAAAGGGTACTAGAGAAGTAGTGAGAGACATAGGAGCAATAGTTGACTGGGAAAAGAAAGTCCAGTTTAAGGAAGCTAATAGCAGAAACACCTTTTTTCCCCTAAGACTAGTCTGGTCCATATGGTAGTCATTAGCCATATATAGCAATTTCATTTAATTAAAAATTAAATTTAGAAGTCAGTTCCTGAGGGCTGTGGGTGTTCATTGGTAGAATGTTTTCCTAGCATACACTTGTGAGGCTCTGGTTTCATTCCCTAGCAACATGAAAATAAAAATTCCATAGTTACATTAGCTATTTATTCAGTGGTCATGTGGCTAGAGACTGTATTTCTGTCATCTCTGAAAGTTCTGATAAAGGTAGACGTGGTGCATGCCTATAATTCCAGCACTTCGAAGACTGAGGCAGAGGAGCTGTGAGCTCGAGGCCAGCAAGAGCTATATACTGTATAGAAAGACTATCTCAGAATCACAACTACAGAATGCACATACACACACAAAAAAGTTTCTTTTTCCTTTTTTTTTTCTTTGTTTTTTTTTTTACGGAACCGGGGATTGAACTCAGGCCCTTGCGCTCGCCAGGGAAGCGCTTATTCCACTGAGCCATCTCCCTGGCCCCACAAAAAAGTTTCTGATGGACAGTGCTGTTCTGAAACTTTTTTATGGATTATTCTCTT